GAGCCATCCGTGAAGACCAGTGTAAGCCTGTTAGGGGCCTGATCGCCCCAGATCAGGCCAGTGTGGCTGATAAAAATGGGGGACTCCGTGTTAAAAGATTATTATTAAGAATTTCAAGATGGCAACAGCAGGGCACTAAGCATGGAGTCCTTCCAAATGCAGGGCCCTGTGGAACTGCCTGGGCCACGTGCCCATGAAGCTGGCCTTGCCTGGTGGGCTTGTGTCTCAGGATGGGGGGGCGCTATCTACTGAGTGCCAGGTATGGTTCTAAGTACCACACATGCATCTTCTCATTTGGTGAAATATTCAGGTCCTTCTTTGGGGGGAATTTTTCACGTCCCAAGGTGTGGTGGTGCTTAAAAGCAGGCTTTCATAAAATAATAACAATATTGAAATAAAATAAAATAAAATAAAATAAATATTTTTCAATTAAAAAAATTTTAAAAAGAGCTGGCTTTCCAGAGGGTCAGTAAGCAGCCGACAGATCCCTGAACATGAAGGGAGAGACAGCAGTCAGCTGTTTATTTTTCTTCTCTTGTACTTTGGGAGTGTGTGAGTAAAAGAGGGATGAGCATTTTAATGTGAAAAGAGAAGGAAGTGGCTCAGCAATTCCAAGGGAAGCAGATCCATCTGAACAAGTGATGGCTTTCCCGACTGCATTCAGAAATGCAAAAATGTTTGGATTGCACTTAGTTTGCAAAGCACATCCCTGTATTTGTTTGTCTATTCTCAGTGCACTAATGTTCCCTCTGTGGAGACCAAGTTGTCCTTTATCTATTCGTCTACAAGAGATGGTAGCAGATCCTGCTTTTCTAATTCCAGTCACCGTGTGTAGCAGTAAATGTCACGAACTCGGAAACGATTCGATACCTGGGGGAGTATTCATACAATGAATTAAAATGAATGAAATAAGTCGACATAAATAAATCTCGATGATACTGAATTTTAAAAAGAGGAACTTGCAAAAGGATATGGACAATATGATACCATTTGTATACATTTCTAAAAAGATTTTATTTATTTATTTTTAGAGAGAGGACAAAGGAGGGAGAAAGAGAGGGAGCGAAACATCAATTGGTTGCCTCTCGCAGGCCCGCACCTGGGGACCTGGCCCACACACAACCCAGGCGTGTGCCTTGACTGGGAATTGAACCAATGACCTTTTGGTTTGCAGGATGATACCCAACCCACTGAGCCACACCAGTCAGGGCTCTATATATTTTTAAAATTTATAAAACAAATATAGTAAAAGCATAAAAACATGAGTGGGGGAAATTTTTATCAACTTCAGGGGTGAGGCATGGGAATAGGAAGGAGGGCTTCAGTTATATTGGGAATAGTTTATTTCATTTTTTAATAAAAAGGCATGTAGAATAAATACAGCAAAAATGTTAACCTCTTATATGTGACTAGCGGGTTCACAGGTGTGTGCTGTATTATTTTCTGTACTTTTACTGTATGGTTGAAATGTCTCATAACTTTAAAAGTTAAGTGTTTTAAACACATAGGCATAGTTAACTAAATTGTAAATAGTTTTAGCTTCCTCTAGATTTATTTTAAAATGTATATTATAAAAAGCAATATATTCTATTAAATAACTTTCAGAAAATAATAAAAAATAAATTGCTCAGAATCTCATCACCCAAAAATGGTCATTGTTAATGTTTTGGTATATTTCCTTCCATTTTTTGTTCTTTGTGGGGGTGTGTGTGTTTAAACATTTTTGTTCTTTGCTGGGAGGTGTGTTTAAACATAGTTCTTTGTGGGGGTATATGTGTTCAAACATAGTTCTAAGCATCTTGGATACACACGTTGAATTCTTCCCTTTTCCCTCATTGTAACATCACCCTTCTTCCATGTTATGACAGCCAGCACGCACATCATTTTTCTTGACTTCCAATGAAGATCTCCCACAGCTTGCTTAACCAACACCATTTTGCATAAAACCAGTTGTGAACATTCAGCAGTCGCATGTTCATAAACATGATCCTTTTGGAAGCCTGAGGAACAGGATTCGGTGGTGCTTGCTGTTGCTTTCTGCAAGGCTGTTCTGTGGGGGATGACAGTAAAAAGGTCTGTCACATCTGTGATATCACATTCCCGAGGAGACTGAGCTTGTCGGCGTTCATCCCGTGGGTAGGAACTGTGCATATTTAAAACGCCAGCTCTGCATCTTTCTTGCCTGAGAGGAAACAAGCGCTTGAACCTGCAGCTGGGGGATTATTTGCCGATTCCATTCAAGTCTTATTTTGGGGCCTAGGTGACAGCAGAAATGATTATTCCAGACATCTATGCGCCCCCTCCCAGCTTGTTGGTGCTCTCCCATCCCTTCCCATCTGGTCTCTCTGGACCTGAGAGGTGAGGTGTAGAGCAGGCACGCACCAGTAAGTGGGAAAGTCAGGACCACCACCTCCTGCTCCGGACTCCTTCTGAAGCCCGTGAGTGGCCATCCTGAGACCCGGGCAAGAGGGGCCATGTCTGCCCAGAGCCCACTGTCCCACTTCTAGACCACACTCTGGGTCCCTGCAATCCCCTGGAAGGCCTGGGCTCTTCCAGGGCCCACACAAGCCTGAGTCTCTTCTCCTCGGGGCCAGACCACCAGCGTATGCCTGCCTAGGCTCAAGGGCAGGGCTTGCAGGGGGTGAGCAGAGCTTAGGCCTGTAGGCTGTGGGCTGAATCATGAGTTCAGGGGGTGTGGTCTGGGGGCAGGTGCAGGAGCTATAGGCCAACATCCCCCACAGTGTGTAGCTCAGAACTGCAAGGTCTCCGGGAATTCCACATTCAGGCCTGACCAGCTTAGTCGTTACAACAATGTGCTTGTCTGAGGAGGAGGCTAAACTGTATTCTGTGTAACAGTTTGATAGCTAGATCTGTAATTTAACTAATTAGAGATTTGGTATGTGGACCTCCTTTTCTACTCTTGCTCTGGGACCCACAGCTTTTAAAAACAGTCTTATTACACTCCTGTTTCCAGGTTCCCTTTTTTCTGTCCAAGGCTACTGTGATACTGAGGTGAGGAGGTGGGGAGGGGGTGCAAAGGAAAGCAATGTGGAACCACAGAAAAATGAAACAATTTAGTGTTTAAAATCCCAATGTATGAGAAACTCCCATGTCCGTGAGTAAAAGCAAGAAACGCATTTCAGGACAAAATACATAGAGTACAACCACCTGCTATGAGGATGAATCAGCCCAGCACAATCCAGCCAAATCAGAAATAGAAGCCAGCGAGTAAAGCTGCAATCTGCTGCTCTTCCCCTTCTCTGCGTTTCTCCGCCGCCCTCCCCACGGTTCGGCCACAGGTGCCGCAGAGCTGCTCCCTCTGGCGGCCGCTTCAAGCTATGCAGGAAGTCAGACCCCTGGGTTTCCCACGACAGCCTGGCCTGCCAGAATCAGCGTGGAAAATCAATTTTGCAAGAATTTTCATTTTAATTGTTGTTTGGCCACTGAACTACTTTTCTTTTTGGTCCTTATTCCTCAGCAATATTTCTGATTTGTGACCAAGGATTTCGCTGAATAGAGAAGCATGAAATCATTAAGACTGTTTCATTTCTCTCCTGCAGAACACAGACAAACAGCTAAGTTCTGAGTGATTCAACATACACATTAGGACAAGGCTTTACAACGTCCATTTTATATGGGATGTGTCAGTTGACTTTTACAGCTTCCCAAGAAGGAAGCTGTTCCTACCATGTAGGTAAAGAACCAGCCTCTCAGAGAGGTTGAGGAACCTAGCTGACATTACCAAGCTGGGAGGTGGAAGGTTTGGGGCTGGAACTTGGATCCGACTCCCAATCACTGTAAAGACCCAACCAGAAGGGCTTTTTACTCACCAGGAAAAAGAGAGGCACCTTGTATCATCAGAGCCCTCCCAAAGCCTCTCATAGTCTGAGGCCCTGTCTCAATTATTTTAATTTTAATGAAGTTTTGTTTGGGAATAGCACATAAGCCTGGAAGAACAGCCTTTGGTCAGTACTGGTTTTGGAAACTCATGGAACTTGCATGATTAAATTTGGTTTTAAAAAAAAGGGGGAGGATCTTTAGTACAGATTTAGTAATTTTTCCTAGAAGTATGCTTTGTGATTGCAAGTGAGGCTTTTAAAAATTTCTTTTTTAAGTGGTATGTTGTAGAAATTATGAGTAGAACAACTTTTCACTAATAAACCCAAACAGATGGATGGAAATGAAGTTAATGTGCTTGGAAAACTAAGACAAAGACCCTGATGTTGAAGATGCATATGAAAACTTTGAATAGAATTATTTTGTGAAATGTGAGAGAATAAAACAAAACAATACAGCCAAATTAACCTTTTATTTATTATGGTTTAAAAGAGTTTATTATTTATTTTTAGAGAGAGGGGAAGGGAGGGAGAAAGGGAGGGAAGAAACATCAATGTGTGGCTGCCTCTTGCGCGCCCTACTGGGGACCTGGCCCACAACCCAGGCCTGTGCCCAGGCTGGGAGTCGCACCTGTGACCCTTTGGTTTGCATGCAGGCCAGCACTCAGTCCACTGAGCCACAGCAGCCAGGACTCTTTATTATGGTTTAAACGTATATGTGCCACTAAATTAATGAATAGTATAAGTAAACATTTGAGCATTTGTATTATATCATGTTATATCATATAGATATTTGATTGTGTCATCTGTATATTCAGATTGCTCAAAAAATGCGTGAAGGGGTCTTCTCATTGGGAAATAGGAGTTGGCCTAAAGCTTGGGTAACACACTAAGTGGTTTTTCCAAAGCACCGAGCTGCAACCCAGGGTGAGTCAGAAGCAGGTTTGTGTGCTGGACCCACAGTAACGATGGTTACACACTGGCCCCTGCGCCTTCAGGCAGCTCACAGTTTCCCAAACGTTGCTGCTTTGGGGCCTTACAGCCTCTTGGGAGGGAGGGTCTATGGCTGTCCTGAATGTCCACCTGAGGACCCCGTGCCTCCCCACGTCAGAGGCTTGGGTACGGGAAGAGATGTGACAAGACTGCTCTTCCCGTCTTCCTCAGGCAGCGCTCGTTGGAGGGACCACCATGATCATCGGCCACGTCCTGCCTGACAAGGAGACCTCCCTCGTGGATGCTTATGAGAAGTGCCGGGGCCTGGCCGACCCCAAGGTCTGCTGTGACTACGCCCTCCACGTGGGGATCACCTGGTGGGCACCGAAGGTAACAGTGGAGCCTTGAAGGATGAACAAATGCTCCCTTCAGGCAGAGGGGCCATTTGGTGGGAGCCGGCTGGGGTACGGTGCTCTCCCGCAGGCGTGGGACACCCCTCGCGCCACTGTCCTAATTCCTCCCCGCAAATGCCAAAAGATAAAACACCACAGTTCCCTAAGGCGGCGGGTGGGCCCGTCCTGCTTCATTTACAGAGCCAGGCTTCCAGCAGATGCAGGGTCTCAGACGGAGGCCTAGGAGCGCTGGCTCCGTGCTCTGACCCCCAGGCTCTCAGGGACTCCTGGTGCCTTACATTAGGTGCCTGTGACACCTGCTGCGATGCCGATGCCGATGCCGCTGAGCACTGGGCTCAGGCAGGCCAGGCCCCAAGTGTCACATTGTTTTGTGCTGAGAGTGACAGCACTGAGCTGAGGTCCCAGAACGGAGAGCCCTGTCCTGGCTCAGTGCCGCCTGGTAGGAACGGACTGGGCCGTCCTTTCCTACTGGGACCCTACTCTGAGAGCCCCGGCGCTGCTCCTGGTGTGTGGCTGCAGCTGGCTCCCGGCGAGCCCTGTCTCCGTTCCGCCCGTGTGCCATGCCCCTGACTTTGCTGTCGTCCCGCTGCCCCAGGGCCAGCGTCCATTCCCTCCTCCCCACATTCCCACTTTTCGCTTATCCTGAAAACAGATATACAAGCATGTAGCTTTTGCTTTGTTTCTAGAGTCGGCCTGCTTATTACCCCAGGGAAGCAACCTGGATACGCATTCTTTCATCAATTATTTATGAATCACCACGGGTCAGGACTTGGGTGGGTGCCCTGGAGTCATAAAAATGAATGAGCATTAAGAAATTTTCCAGAGTTCTTCAGCAGTGCGCCCTGGGTCAAAGGGCCTGACTCCCTTCTGAGATGGTAGTTAAGAGCATCACTGAACTTCTGCCCTCGGTGTGGGGCTCACCGGGTCTCTTCCATTTTTCCCAACCTGGCCCCCAAGCCTCACACCATGAACAGCCCCACTCCTGGTACCAGAATAAAGGTGCAGACCACGCTGAATGTCAGCCATCCCGTCTTTCAGAGCGGGGTTTGTCCATCTCGGACAGCCTCGCGGATGGGTGACCCCTGTACCCAGGGCATTCTCCATTCTCTCCCCCAGCGTTGACCTGGAATAGAGGGCCCAGTCAGATTCTCAGCCACCTGAGGTCAGGCCAGCTGTTCCCTGAGGCTGTGGGGACTTTCATGCATCTAGGATTTTATATTCATTTTCCTAATAATCAATTTTCTTTCTAACTATAGATTTTAAAATTAGAACAGAAAGGAAGCCCATAATCTGGTCACCCCAACACAATCACTGTGTGTTATTTAGCTTATTTCCTTCCAGTCTTTTTTTCATACAGGCTTTTTACATGGTAATTCTTTTGCTTAAGTAGGAGCATTTTCTCCTGGGCTGTGTGGTCTTCATGATACCAATGCAATGGCCACCTAACATTCTGTCAAATAGACACACTCGATTTACTTTCCTCTCATTGGACCAGTGTTGCTTCCATTTTCTCCTAATATAAATAATGTTGGGATGAATCTCCTTATTCACATAGCTTTGTTCCTGAATTAAATTTTCCCCAGGGTCTCTGAATTTTCACCATTACTGTGCCTTCTTTGTAATACAGTTTATGGGGTCAGGGGAATAGGCCATAGGACTACAGGTTATTAGCAAGGCTGATCTGGAGTCAGAAACACAGGACAAGCATATTTGGTAGGAGAAACATGCCTAGAAGGCAACAAAATAGTTCCTATATTTGTGTCATGCTTGACAACTTCCAAAGTACATCTTCATGCATTTGCTCACGGAACCTCAGAACAGCCTGGGAGCTGGGAGGACAGTGAGATGCTGCGAGGTTGTGGGTGGTGGTCACGTGGTGACTCCTCTGGCCGAGTTGCATCTCCCGCACGCCGGGCCAGCACCTGCCCGTCAGCCTCTTGAACATCTGTGCTCACGTGTTCTTTGCATTTTGCTCTCCAGGTGAAAGTAGAAATGGAGACATTGGTAAGAGAGAAGGGTGTCAACTCATTCCAGATGTTCATGACCTACAAGGACTTGTATATGCTTCGGGACAGTGAGCTGTACCAAGTGCTGCACGCTTGCAAAGACATCGGGGCGATCGCCCGAGTCCACGCTGAAAACGGAGAGCTCGTGGCCGAGGCAAGGCGGGGCAGGGCGGGGCGGGGGGCGGAGGATGTGGGGGGCGGGACCAGGGCGCCAATGGAGACAGTTCTCAGGCCGATTCCCTACCCCCGCTTTCTATCCCATGATGTGCAGGCAAAACAAGCTGTAAAAGTTAACACCCCAGATGACAGATCTCTGACAGGAAATTTCAACTTTTCTACTGTCTGTAAAAAATGAAACTCTGTAGTCCAGAAGGGTTTCTAAGTCTTAAATGATGTTTTTATTCTACTGCTCTATTTATATTCCATTATAGCAAAGGAATTTGGAGCAGCTCTAAGAAGTATTTTAATGAGATTTCCAGCAGGGAAATTCTGACTTTTAGATGAATAAAAGATGTTTGTCTCTGGTATCCCAGACCTGTTCTCCAGCTATGGAAATGTATTTTCGAAAAGAAAAGACGTTATTGATTATGATGAAGTGAGACTCAGGAGAGCCTTCCCGAAAGGGAGCCCCGTGCCTATTCTGCCCCCTTTAGAGGATGAACATTACAGAAGTGAGAGAGCAGCAACCCTACTAGCATGGGCGGTGTCTGGCATGTTTTACTGTCCCTTGGCTTCGGTAGTTTTTGGTATCTCTATGAGCCGCTCAATTTTCTGTCTTTTTGCTGTTATTCAGGGTGCGAAGGAGGCGCTAGATTTGGGCATCACAGGCCCAGAAGGAATTGAGATCAGCCGCCCAGAAGAGGTGAGGAAGGGCCCCGTGTGTCCTTTGTCAGCTTCTTTCCGGAGAGTCACAGAATCTTTAGGGTGGAAAAGACACAGATAAACGTAGGTCGTGTTGCATCGCTCTCTCCGTGGGTGAGGTTCCCACGGGGAAGCTTCTCGGGAGGCTGACTTGGCCTCATTTGAATCTGATTTCAAGGATCTGAGGGAGACAACGTACGCACCCCAGGGGCGGCTGTACCCAAAATCGGATCAGGAGACAAAAGCCTGAAAACGTGTGTCTCTTCAGATGTTAGAAGTTTCAGGCTATAAGCCAGTGACTCAGGATTGAGGGGATGAGATCCCTTTGAGCATCTGAGGAAAACTTGGACTCTTTCCCCCTTGGTACCTTGTTACTCACTGAAATGCTGATTGCGAGCCCGGCTCTGCTTCTGCCCTCTGGTTTTGTCCTTGTATAGTTTTGCAGGACGTCAATACAAATCCCCCAGGGTCTCCCTGCCAATGAAATCTGCTCTGGAGGGACCACATTAGACAGATAATGCCTTCCTGCCCTATGACCCTGTTCAGATGTCCCTGGCCATTTGTGAGGGGGAAGCCGTTTTCCATTTCTCCAAAGCCTGAAGCGCAGAGTGGGGGTCAGCTGTCCGTGGGGGAGCCATGGGGAGGCCTTGAAGGGTGAGGAGCTGGAGACAGGGTGTGATAGTACTTCCATCAGACAGGAACCAAGTCGGCCCATAGTGGGTCAGCCTCGGGGTGGGTGGGGGCTCCCGCCTTACTCCTCCCCTGGGTCTGCCCCTATCTGTCAGAGTCCTTGAATATAGCTCCTGGTTTGGCACCTAATAATTGGTCAGAAAGAGGCACCCGATTCAGCAAATAATGAACCCAGGAGAACCATAGTGGTGGGGGATGGGCACAGGAGTGGACTTTGTTAAGTTATATGCAGGGAAGCGCAAAGCTTTGACTACAGTGGTAGCAATAGCAAAGATTGTTGCTGTCACCATCAGTTGGTTCAAGGAGAGGGTCCTGGGTCTACACCCGGGGTGATTTTGCTGCCCAGAAGACATTTGGCAATGTCTAGAGACATTTTTGATTAGCTCAACTGAGAAGTGGAGTGCTCCTGGCATCTAGTAGGTACAGGCTAAGGACGCTGCTCTAGATCCTGCCGTCTCCAGACAGCTCCCCGCCACAGAGAACTGTCCCGTCCAAAATGTCAATAGTTCTGAGGTTTAGAAACGCTGATCCAGGCAAATTTTCAGCTTGAAATCAATCAATGTCGCTCCTTTGCTGCAGTGCTGAGGTGGCTGTGGAGAGACTACACCAGACAACGGAGAGAGATGTTAACTCCAGGTGTTCGTTTGCTGTGGTTTCCATTTTAGTTAAGCCCCGAGTAGCATCCAGCAAGGATGTGCCTGGCACACCAAGTCCTAGGATTCTCTCGGGGTGAGCAGAGGTGGATGGAGCTTCGTGCCCCCGCCAGGGCTTGCCCCCAAGCCACCCCCCCGGCGGGTGCAGCTGGCACCTCTGGCTCTGTGCCAGGCATTCCCGCACGCACGCCTGCGAGGGGGTGGGCTCTCCGGCGCACACACGGGGGCTTGCTTGGGAGAGATGGTGAGGCTTGTTTTCTTCCTGCCCTGTGTTTCTGACAGCTGGAAGCTGAAGCCACCCACCGAGTTATCACCATTGCAAACAGGGTAAGTGCACCCCCCACCCACCCACCGCTCGCCCTGAGTCCATTTTCGAATCTGGGATCAGAAGCCAACATGTCCAGTGGAGTCCCTTTCTGTTCTGAGTGCCAGCATCATTGCTCACGTGGAAAAGGCTCCCCGGGGGGGTGGGGCGCAGTGGGGCAGCAGGGAGCCCCGCTGCACCTCGCCTTTGCTGCTGGTAGAGGAACAGGCGGACACTGTGCTTGGAGAGCCAAGCCTTAGACCTCTGCCTCTGGGCCGTTCAGTTTTTCCTTGGTGAGGCTCAGGGTAAAGCCCTCTCAGGGCCCAGGCGCTGATGCACGTGGGGGTGGGACGCAGCCAGAGACGTAGGGCCTTTACCAAATACAAGCTTTCGATCACACACAAGTCACTCAATAACTCTGTTATACTACTTTATCACCTAAAATTAGAATGATACTATCAGTCCTGATGGTGTGGTTGTGAAGATCAAAGGAGTCATGGAAGGGAAAGCACTTTATAAACAGCAGAGCCCTGTATGAAGGCCATTTCTCTTTCTGACGTCATTGGTTTGATCTGTCCAGATAATCTAAGTTACCTCCTCTGGACCCTGGTCTTCTAGGGGTGGTCCCTGGACCTGCAGCATCAGCATCGCTTGTTACAAATAGGAACATAGAGATGTAAATTATCGGGCCCAGGCAGGCCCATTGAGTCAGAAACTTGGGGCAATGCCCGGCAATCTGTGTTTTAACAAGCCCACCAATCGTTCCAAGGGTGCTAATGCTTGAGGAGCTCTCCCCCGAAAGACCCAGGCTCCCTGGAAGGATGTAAACAGGAGGGTGTGCTGCTAGGAATACCCGGGGGAAACAGGGAGATGGGAAATCCAGCTGGTCTCAGAATCAGCAAACCCGTGCCAAGTACATCAAGCGTCAGGCCAGCTCCTAACTCTCTGTCCGAATTTGATAAGCAAGAAAAGCATCAGAATGACATTTGGGAAAACACAGTCTCCCATCAACAGTTTATAAATCCAGGGGCTGGATAAGGACATTATTTTACTGTCACAACAATCATTGTATCAATGACTTCCTGATGGAAAATTACCCCAGAATAAGGAAGGATCTGAACAACAAAAGAGCAGCTCGACTTTTCGCTCCAACATATGCCCAGAGGAGTTAAGCCATGGGCATGGCCACACAGCTCGGTAGAGAAAAGGCTCATCAATATTACAATCCAGGTGTGCGTCTGTAAGACTGGTCCTGTCTGGCATAGACTCTTAACCCTGAACCCTTTGTATTTCGTTTTCTTCAGGGTACATTCTGTCTACTGATAAAGCAGCCCTCAGAGGGCAGGCATGGTAATTTTTTTAATATGGAATATAATACAACTATCTCCAAGTCTCCATGTTCATGAACATGAAATTAAGACAGTCCCTTGTTTTAAGTTATTAAAAAACCTTTTGTCGGTTAGCAGAAAATAGGAGGTTCAGCTCTTGACATCCTGCCGCACATTCCCCTGTTGGGCTCTGGTGCCTGGCCCTTATTTCACGCACTTAACCTGCAGCTTGTGCTGTGGCTGCCAGCGCTGCACTCCCAGCAAAGGACCGGCCCCCCCGGGGGCGGGGCTAAGCGATACAGGGGGAGGGGCCAAGGCGGATTTGGCTGGGCCATTTTGGTGCGTGTTCGGTTTATGGGGTTGATGCTCTCTCCTTCCCACTGTTTCCATGTTCAGACTCACTGTCCCATCTACCTGGTCAACGTGTCCAGCATTTCGGCCGGTGATGTTATTGCAGCTGCTAAGATGCAAGGTGTGTCCTTGAGCTGGGATGGGCAGGACACATGGGGTGGGATGGGAGCCAGGTGGGGGCCCGCCAGCTTCGTGTACTCCGTGGCCCCGGCTCTCGGGGCCTGGCCCTGCGCCTGCCCTTCTTCTTCTCCACCTGTCTTCCCCAGAAGCACCCTGCACAGCCTGGGTTCAGTCCATTAGGATCAGAGTGTTCTTCTGCACATTTATATGCAGAGCAGCTTCGCAGAAGTGTCTGTCACCTCTTTTGGGTCTGGCAAATTTTTTTAAGCTTTCAGTTGACTTATTAATTGCTATCTTTTTTGGCCTTTTGGGTGTTACTAGTGGTTGCCTTGGTGACCAACGTGAAATCTTGCACCAGTTCCAATGGATATTTCAGGGGATGCCTGGGACATGCCGGGAGAAATAACTGCGTGGCCCCAACTCCCCTCACCCCGTGTACGAGCCCGGCACCTGGTGGGACTCCTGTGGCAGAGCCCCAGGCGGCACCTGAAGGCTTTGTACTCACTCACAGTGCCAGCCCAGCGCAGGGCGCCTGTGAGGTCCTGAAACAGGAGCAACAAAGTCATGGTCATAAACCTGAGGATTAAGTCAGGAGCAAGGGCTTCTAGCCCTTTCTTTCCTTCTTTCCACCGTTCTGCCTCCTGACGACCCTACCTTCGCCTCTTGGCCATCTCGCCCCTGCTACAGATCCCACCCGCAGCAGGCCTCCCAAAGCGGGGCTCACAGCGCCTGCCTGCTCAGGAAGCAGCCCGCACTGCCCCGCAGCCTGGCACGCACAGCCCTCCGTCCTCCCATCTGCACCCTGCAGCACCCAGCCAGGCTGCACTCCCTGAGGCGCTGTCGGTGCTGCCCCGCCCCGGTGGCTTTGCCCTTCCTATCCCCTTGCCTGGAGTCAGCGTGGGGTAGGGACTACTCTGCCCTTGAGCCCTGCTGTGCTCTCCCAACACTCTAGTGAGCTTAGGCAAGTCCCTTCCTCCCTCTGACTCACCTCGGTCACCTGTCCAATGAGACGCCCAGACCAATGAGCCCTCCGATTCACTGGCTTCCTCGGGATGGCTTGACCCTTCTCCTGCTTCCAGGGAAGGTTGTGCTGGCTGAGACCACCACCGCACATGCCACGCTGACGGGCTTACACTACTACCATCAGGACTGGTCCCACGCAGCCGCCTACGTCACCGTGCCTCCCCTGAGACTGGACACCAACACCTCAACCTACCTCATGAGCCTGCTGGCCAAGTAAGACCTTTGGGCGGGACCCCCGCAGCCCCACAGCCCGTGGTAACCTCTAGTGTGTGCCTTTCCAGGAAACCTGTGAGCAGTGGTGGTTCAGAATTTCGAAGGACGCTGATAGCTCACACTGAGGCCTGCTGGGAAACTGTAGGGCATGGCCTCCGACTTATCCTAGCATATGTGTGGCTTTCCCACCTCTTTTTCTTTACCTCTCCCTCTTCGCATTGTTTCCCCTGCGGTTTTCTCTCCTGTGTGCGCCTCTCTCCTGCGCTTCCCGCTTTCTTCTTCCCCCCTTTTTCTCTTTCTTCTGCACTTTCTCCCTCCATCCCCGCCTACCCTCTCTCCAGACCTCCTTTTGTCCAACTTTTCTTCCCCTAATGCTTGTTTTCCCCCATTGGCTCCTAATCTAAAGGAAATGGTTTAGTGAACAGTCTGAATGTGGTGGCACACAAGCATGAAAAGATTTTGTTTTGTCCCAATAGCTGCTCACAGCTTCTCTCTTGGCTCTGGTGACATTTGGGACATTTGCCTTCTCTTCCCTTTTGGTTATTAAATTCCAGTTCAGTTTAGAAGTCAGTTTCTTCCCCTCCCCGAACCCAGCGCAGGACTGGGGTCGGGGAGGAGAAGATTAGGCATGAATGGGCTGGGTGATTCTTCTCCACACCCAGGCTCACGTCTGTACTCCTGCGTTCATTGTCGTTGCTTCTCAAGCTAAAAGTGACTGGTCTTCGGGGCCCTTTGTGCAGGGCACATGGCCAGCGTGGGCTGTCCTGTACCACCCTCACATAATCCCCTGATACAGGAGATGGACCCCAGCTTAACCCTTTTACCTGCACCCTCCGGCTTCCAGAGCTAGCGGTGTCCCTGTGAACAAGGACCCCGGCATGGCAGTTTAAACCTGGCCGCTTTCTCCAGTGCCCAGGGCTCAGAGGAAACTCACACTGCCTTGCCACCCCCACGGAGGGAGGGCAGGCTGTCCCCACGCCACTCATCTGCTCACCCAGAGCTCAGAGGCAGGCCCCCCTGTCCAGCTTCCAGGCAGATGCCCACTGTGATCACCTCTGTGCTCCACAGGTGACCCTCTTGAGAAGGTCCCCTCCTTGATTTGGGGGGTAGACTGGTGTGGGGAGGGCAGGCAAGCAGCACTCAGCCCATGAGAAGAGGAAGGGGAGAAAGGCTACAGGACTTTCCATCGTGCCAACACCTGTCTCCCTCCCTGTCTCTGCTTTTATAGACCTGCAGGCCGGGGCGGGGGAGGGGGCGGGGCCGCTGCTGATAAACTTCTTCTAGGCTAATGGTTGGGGGGAGTGGAGGGAAGTGACCAGCCCCACTTGAAGGTGGCTGTCTTCAGATAACGGAGCACTTATTTTATCCACATTCTTGGTTTTCAGTCCTGGTTGCCAACAATTAGAAAACTCCCACTCAGCATCCTGCTGGGTTAACGCCCTAAAGAGCGGTTTAAGGGCGGGGGGGGGGGGGCTTTCCAAACACTACCTGAGTGCGCCAGTAGTGTCCCAGGATGGAGGTGGCCCCCGGAGGTGGCACGGTGGCAGCCATTGTATTCTGTCCCAGAGTTTTGCTCTGCTACCAAGCACCAGCAGCTCTGAAATAGATTTAAATAAGTTGAGAGCATAAGAGAGATTGAAGAGAGAAATAAGTGCTAGATGAGCTGTTACTTTTTAAAAAGGATTTTTGTTGGGGAAAACTATTATTATCAACACAACAAAAACAAACAAGTACCAAGAATCTAATAATTTGGGATCGGTTCTAAGGTCCAAGAATCTTTTAAAATATCTCTGCTTGCCACAAGCAAATGTACTGAAAGAAGAAAAAGGTGGCGACTGCTCCCACCCACCCAGGCTACAGCGCCCACGCCCACACAAATGCAGGTAGGAAGGGGGGAAAGGCATTATTAGCTGAATGAGTTAAGTTTTTAAATCTAGACTATTTTGTCAAATCTGTATAAATTATTTAAATAAATTCTGCTCATTTAAATAGAATTGCAATTGTATGTGAACCATTAGGAGAATAGTTTGAATCCCTTTTCTAATCAGTGTATATGGTAAATGTGTGCAATTTTATAGTATTTGGAGCATAGTTTTAACATTTTAGTTATAGGAATTTATGATTACTGTAATTTTGTTTTTATGGCACATTTCTGGTGATAATTGCTATTATACAAAACACTTGGTAGAAAGCCCAGACACCAATTATATCCCGGTAAGAAAATGGGAGCTGCTTCATAATGAGCTACTTTAGAATGTGACTTCTCGGGATACATCAGGGTGAAAAGTACCTTTAGATGTAAGCATTTGTCCTTTATTTAAAATCTGATTTCTTAAGGGGATCAGATCTTTTTTCATTTGAACATGTAAAAATTTCACTTCACAAAGCCAGTCATGTTTGAAACTTGAAAGAGTAGGGACGGGTGTTTCCTATCGCCCAGACTCAGGGCAGCACGGGGAGGCCTGAGAAGCCCTCCTGACATGTGACCGCACCCGCTCACGCCTGCCCGGGGCACCCTAAAAAGAAAGGCGGGTGCTCAGTAAGACTTGTCGGGTAGGGGATGGGAGTTGAGCCACTGTTCTTGGGGTCTGGGAGCCTCAGCCCATGGCGCTGACGGGCACCTCCTCTGACCTGAGCCCTGCCCAGGTGTCTGGGGGACCCCCGAAGAGAAAGTGAAACCCTAAAGATTCCGTGCATCTTGGGTGGGTTCTGCGGGCCTGGGGAATGTGGGGAGCCCCCGAGGACCCTAGGGAAAACCCTCTGCTCGGTGGAAGAGTCCCTCCCGCAGGCTCTGAGAAGAGCTGAGTCATCTCACTGTGGATTTGGCCAAGAATATCGGTCGTTGGGCAAGAGCTGTGACTGATGAGCTCTGCCAGGCCCCAGTGGAGAAAGCCCTCTGTGCAACCTGACCCAGAACATCTGAGAGCCTTAAGAATATGCCTCTTCACCAAGGGAAATAATGTCTTGTGTTCCCAGGGTCCCTTTCCTAGGCAGGCATCTTAGTTGGCCCTTGCACACAAGGCTCTGGCGCCTCTTGCAAGTAAAACAGACTCTGAGGTCCCCAGTGTGTGGTCCAAGCCGTTGTCCGCCTCTCCCACAGGACCCCGTGCTCCATTCGGGCCCCTCCCTGTGCCTGAGTTGCCCTGGCCTGGGTGAGATAGACGTTCTCGCTCCTCTGCCCCTCGCCATCTCTGAGGCCTACAGCACCCTCTGAACATGGGCCAGCTGTCTGCCGCCCTCGTTAAGCACAGGGTCTGCCACCCTGCGTCCTCTCACCGTCGTCTCTGCCCCGAGTTCTTACTTAGCTCAAGAGCCCCTCGAGAGCGGCCATGCCTTAGCCACCCGCTGCCTTGCATGGAGGCCGCCTCAGTAACTGCCTGAGGATGATGGTCGTGGATGGCAGTGACAGGGACCCAGCTGACTCGCATACTGCTGCTGACTTACAGGGCAAGCTTTTCCATCTTGTCCCTCATTTTCCCTTCTGGGCCATCAGAGTCCCCAAACCCTAGGAAGGCTATGGTTTGGAATTATTTGCAAAGCTTAACATTGAAGTTGCGTGTTGTACTAAGCACGTGCTTGCCCACAGGGACTGGTGGGGGTTGAGGATGGAGATGAGAGTTTTCACATGGTTTCATGGTAGTAAAACTACCTCCACCCTCTCTACTCTAGCTATACTCTTACGCTCAATTTTTCTCTACCCGCTATCCTCTTTTTTTAAAAAAGATTTTATTTATTTACTTTTAGAGAGGGGAAGGGAGGGAGAAAGAGGGGAAGAGTCACTGAGCCACCACAGCCAGAGCCCGTTACCCTAACTCTTAAATGTCAATATCCCAAAGCCTCGCAGTGTCTCCTGCAACACTGGTGATCTGTGCCACACTCAGCACCTGTCTCCATTCTGCAGATGGGTAAACTGAGGTTCTCGCATTTAAGTCACTCATCAGAGGTCATACAGCTACTAAATAGCAGAGCTGAGGTTGAAATCAGCTTTGTCTGGTTCTTAAGCAAAGACTTTTTTCCTGTACCTTTTGTCACCCTCTGGGACCCTGGCCTCTTTCCCTTCACTGGTCACATCCTTCTCTCTACCCAGTGATACTCTGAACATTGTGGCATCAGATCACCGGCCTTTCACCACCAAGCAAAAAGCTATGGGCAAGGAGGACTTCACCAAGATCCCGCACGGAGTGAGTGGCGTACAGGACCGCATGAGCGTCATCTGGGAGAGAGGCGTGGTATGTTCTTGAAAGCCCCGCCCCCGCGCTACCCGCCCCTTCGTCTACGCAGAGGTCGGTCCGGTGGTACCCTGAGGAGGGCGGGTCAACCGCAGCTCCTGTTTCACTCAAAAACAGAACCGAAAAAAATTTTTTTTCTGATCAGAAAAGTAACAAGCCTAGTATAAAATTTTTCCATAATTCCATACCGAGAAATTAAACTTAATATTTTAGTATGTTTCTTCCTAGTTCTATGAAGTACTATATTTTAATAACTGAGTTCATCCCTTTTTTCATATAACATATCTTGAGTATCTTCCTATATCAGTAAAAAATTCTTTAAAAACATTTTTTTAATAGCTGAATAATATTTTCTCCAACGGAAGTACCATACTTCAGTTAATCCTTTCCTGATGTTTAGAATTTTCAGCTGTTTCAAATTTTTGCACTTAAAAATGATGGTGCAGAGAATCTCTTTGTCCATGAGCATGTGTCAGCATTTTTCATTACTTTTTGAGGACCAGTTCCTAGAAGTGGATTTCTGGGCCAAGGGGTATGAACATTTTTAAGGCTCTTGATATATTTTATTCAATTACTTTTCAACAGAGGGACTGGGACTTCATTAGAATACTGCCTGTTCTGCCCATAGAGGCTGTGTGTGGTTGGTCTTAACCTATCACAGACTAGGTGCAGCATAGAGTATGAGCCCAAGGGGGTTTGATGTCCTCAAGACTAAGCCACCAGCTCAGGGAGGACCCATGAGATGGCTCAGGAATCCTCTTTGAAGAGTCCACGGTGCTGTCATGGGTGGACGGGTGGGGCAATAAGATGCTTTTCTGGAGCACAGATTATATGTCCCTCTGTGGATGCAGGAGGCTCCTAACTCCTCCATCGTGGGCACATGAGCAGAGCCAGTTTTACATTCAGGAGGTAGATTTCCACCAGGTAGGCAGCCTTTTGGAACAAGGGCCCACTCACTGTTGTTGCCGCATGAAGGAGAAAGAAGTAAGCACATGCCTGGAACCAAGCCAAGCAGGCTGGCTCTTCTGAAGGGGCGCCCATGGTAGTGTTCCACCTCAGCACCGTTGTTCTGACCGCCTAAAAGGCCACAGGCCAGAACTAAGGGTGACAAGGGGTTGGAGGCACACCCGGGGCCCGGTTGACTTGACCCTTCTGCAATGTTTCAGGTGGGAGGAAAGATGGATGAGAACCGTTTCGTGGCCATCACCAGTTCCAATGCCGCGAAGATTCTCAACCTGTATCCCCGCAAGGGCCGCATCATCCCGGGGGCCGACGCCGACGTGGTGGTGTGGGACCCAGAAGCCACAAAGTAAAACCTGCTGCTGGTCTCCAGGGCTGGGGGACCTGGGATTTTCAGGAACTCGTGTTACAGAACTCCAAAAGCATATCATCTTTGCACTACCTCTAGCATAGAGAAGTATGGCCCTGAGGTGTGTTCAATTTAACACATGTTCAAGGGCCTCCCGCTGTCTGGGCACTGGGAGCACAACAGAGAACAGCTCCAGCTGCACAGCACTTGACAGTGTTTCAAAGCTGCTTCTCATCAGCTATCTCATTTGATTTGACTCACGGCCCCAGGAAGCACTCAAGCCGGAGTTCTTATTTTCATTTTACTACTGAAAAAACTAAGACCAAAGGGTCGAGGGACTTCCCACATCGTGTAGCTGATAAGTGGCTGAGCCAGACAGACGGCCTGACACGCAGTTCCAGGCTCCTCCATCCTCTGCTCCCCTCACTGGGGGTGTGGTCCCTTGAGCACGCAGCGCTGGGCACCGCAGCGTTGATGAACACGAGTTCAATGATAAATGGGGTGTGTGGGGAGTGAGCGTGTCTCGGGATGTAGAGCATCATTTTATTTTTAAAGATTTTATTTATTTTTAGAGGGGCAAGGAAGGGGGGAGAGAGAGAGAGAGAGAGAGAGAGAGAGAGAGAGAGAGAGAGAGAGAAACATCGGTGTGTGGTTGTCTCTCATGCGCCCCCTACTGGGGACCCAGGTATGTGCCCTGACAGGGAATCAAACCAGTGACCCTTTGGTTTACAGGCCGGTGCTCAATCCACTGAGCCACACCAGGCAGTGCTAGAGTATCATTTTTACTCAGAGATGTGGGCATAGGAAATGGGAATAATTTTTTAGTATTAAATTTCATTCAGTCAACAAATACAAGGGTGGGTAAAAGTAGGTTAATAACAATAATAAATAATAATACAAGAATAAACTGTTTCGTGTACTGACAACTGTAAACCTACCTTTGCCCACCCCTGTGTTTGTTAATTGCTGTTATTTGGCAGGCAGTTTTCTAGGTGCACAAGCTAGCAGTGAACAAGACAGACAAAAATGTGGTGGGACATGGAAAATAAAAGTTGGATTGCAAAGAAAGTTCACCCTGGGCTCCGTCAGGATCCCCACACTGTGCCCTCCACTAGGGCCCTTGAAGAGCCCTGCTCTGCACCCTGACACCAGGGGCTGGTTCCTGTCTCTGTTGTAGGCCTGCCTGTTAGTGGAAAGACCCCTAGGGTTTAGCCAGTGTATTAGTTTGCCAGGGCTGCTTTTAAAAATACCACACAGCTTGTGAGGTATTTTTTTTAAACAACAGAAACTTATTTCCTCACAGCTCGGAGGGAAGAAGCCTGAGGTCAAGGTGTCGGCAGAGTTGACTATTAAGGCCGCTCTTCCTGGCCTGTAGAGGGCCCTCTTCTCCCTCTTCACACATCACGTGCCCTCCTGGTGTCTCAATTGTCTCTTCTTAAGAGGACACCAGTCAGACTGGACAAAGGTCTACCCATGTGACCTCTTTTTACTTTAATTAGCTTAAATTAAAGGTCCTAACTCCAAATACAGTTACATTCTCAAGTACTGGGTGTTAGGACTTCAACATATAAATTTGAGGGGGGGCACAATTCAGTCCACAACAACCAGCCTTTGGGGATTACCCCTTCTGTGTGAGCGTCCGCCCCCCCCCCGCCCCCACTGAACATCTTCCGTCCCCATTGAGCTGTGGCGTCTTTACCTCTTCTCAGAGCTTTCTCTCTTGCCACTGCCTCCCCACCAGGACCATCTCAGCCAGCACCCAGGTGCAAGGGGGAGACTTCAACCTGTACGAGAACATGCGCTGCCATGGCGTGCCGCTCGTCACCATCAGTCGAGGGCGGGTCGTGTATGAGAACGGTGTCTTCATGTGCGCCGAGGGCACTGGCAAGTTCTGTCCCCTGAGGTCCTTCCCAGACACTGTCTACAAGAAGCTGGTCCAGAGAGAAAAGGTAAGGTGAAGGCGATGTGTGTGAGGAGGCTGAAGCCCCTGTGAGGGACATTCCACATGACTGCTTTAAATCTCAGACTTGTTCTCTATTTTTGCACCGAATCCTGTTGCCTGGAGTGGCCACTTTGGGAAGAAGAAATACTAGGAAAGAAGCACCTGTAACAAAGTAAAATGTATTGGGAAGAGTCCCCATTTCCCCTGGAGCTGAGGGGATACCATGAGCTGTTCACATCTGTCCCAACATGTGGTCCCTGGAAGGGTCCTTGCCGTCCACCAGGGCAAAGGGTCCCTGTCACAGCCTGGAGTTGCTCATTCTCTGAAACCTTCCCCGTCCCTTGTGACTGCAGTAGGCTGGGTTGGCTTGGGGAGTCTGGGCCTGCAACACGTAGCGGTCAGGCCAGGCCTGGAATAGTTCGCATCTCCAGGGTCGCTCCCAGTCCTTGGATTCCATAAGCACCCTGGGTGTATGCCGGCCTCCGGGTGGGCACCTTCACCCAAAAGAAGGTTGGCTGTTCCCCCACGGCTCAGGGATTGATGTCCGGCCTTACCACTGAGAGCTGCCCTAGAGAATCTGGCCTGAATCCACACGGACAGCTCCAGATGCGGGGGCCTGCAGCCACATCATCAGAAAAGAGCAAATCTGACGCAGACAGCCGAAAGCATCCTGCTCTTTGTCCTCCCCTTTCTCTGGCTAAAAGTAAGGGCGTGGAAAATTGATATGTGAAAAACAGGTCGTATTTAACACTAAAAGGTCAACTCTGCTGGCAGACACTAGGACTCTCCCCTGGGCCTCTGCTCCTGCCCGCCCTCACTGGGACCCGGGCCTCTGAAGTGGAAGCCGAAGTGCAGCCTGGCAAAGGCCAAAAGAGTTCTGACCAAGCATGACATTCTGGGGCCTGAGCTGCGCCGCAGGTCTGCTGTCAGAGAACATAAAGGAATCTGGAACCTGAAGAGCCGTCCAGAAATCATGCAATCTGTTGTGTCTCTCAACAAGATTTTCAGTGGGCAGCAAGGAGATCGAGGCCTGTCGCTGACAAGTGCCTGGGGGGGTGGGCTGCTCCTCCAGACCTTATGTGCACCCTCCGATCCTCCTCGTAAGAGCGCTTTTTGATATGATCAAGCACCCTTCAAGGACCACTGCAATGACAGCTGCGGCCCTTGTATGTCACTTGCATGTGCCAGAGCAGTTCTAAGAGCTTTACATACATTATTTCCTTCGTCTCATAACAACTCTACGTGTAGTACTAATAGGTACTATTATCATCCTAATTTTACAGTTAAGGAAACAGGCACAGAGAGGTGGCGTAACTTGTACCAGGGCACACAGCTTACAGGTAACAGTTGGGGTTGGAACCTAGGCAGTCCATTTGCAGATTATAGGCTCTTAATTCCATGGCCAGTGTGAGTACACACTGAACTTGTGTTGCTACTGGGGGACTCTCATCTACAAACTAATGGTATTTAGCCTCTATCCCACAAAGTCAGATCGCAGTAAAAGGGATGGCCTCCTGGTAGCCGGGCAAGTGAGGGGAGCGACGTCGCTCCATGTGACGGGTGTTCTGTAAGGCTGACTGTCTCAGAAGTCTGCCTGCCACCGTGGAAAGGGTCCCATAGGTAATGCGGGGGAGCCAGTGGGCATCTCCTCTACGCATGCGCATGCACATGCGCACAGGACACGGGCACTATTTAGGGGGTACAAGAACTCTCCACCCCTTACGCTCAAGGTATAGGAAGGCACTGTCAGAGTAACTTGGGTCCTGAGCAGAATGGCAGCATCTGGAGGCCTGTCGGCCATGGAGGAGGCTCCGGTGGGGGTCGTTTCTGGACTCTGATGGTTCTTTTCCCCTTTCCTCCTCCACCCTTCACCAGACCTTAAAGGTTAAGGGAGTGGACCGCACTCCCTACCTGGGGGATGTCGCTGTGGTCGTGCATCCTGGAAAAAAAGAGATGGGAACGCCACTCGCAGATACTCCTACCCGGCCCGTTACCCGACACGGGGGCATGAGGGACCTTCATGAGTCCAGCTTCAGCCTCTCTGGTAAGAGCGAGGGCCACCTGGACTGGTGGCGGGAGGAGGACCAAAGGGCCACCGGAGGCCCTGCCAGGCAGCGGGGTTTCTGCTCCTTTCCCTCTAGCCTTCTTCCCTTCTTCCCTATTGCATGTCCAGTGTTGAGTGCTGGGTCTAATTTATTCTTAAAGATCTTATTTATTTATTTTTAGAGGGGAAGGGAGAGAGAAAGGGAAACATCAATGTGTGATTGCTTCTCGTGCACCCCCTCCTGGGGACCTGGCCCACAGCCTGGACACGTGCCCTGACTGGGAATTGAACCAGTAACCCCTTGCTTCGCAGGCCGGCATTCAATCCGCTGAGCCACACCAGCCAGGGCCTAGGTCCAATATTAAATACACATAAATATTAGGGGGGCAGGAGGGCTCTCCTGGTCGCTGGGCACTACTGTAACAAGGCATGGATTGCAGGAGAATCTCCCTGTGATGCCCGTTTCAGTCCCTTGAAACATCTTGAGAGCCGTGCACACAGGTAATGCCCCAGAGAAGCCCTGAGACCAGGAAGGTTAACCCTCCCAGTGCCACGTGGGGCTGTGCTCCATTAGCTCCCTCTCCCATCCCCACTCCTCTCCAGCCTCTCCGAAAGACCTGGTATTTCCCTTATTCTCTTTCCTCCCTCGCCTTTTTTGCTAAGAATTGTATTATATGTAATACAATATATATGAGATGTGACTGCCCGGGAAATTTACAGTCAACAATCCATGTCCCAGGTGTTCTGCAGTAGTTAAGAGCAGGTAGGGGGTCACTGCCACATAAATCGCAACCTTCAATGGAGAACAAGCTGGTCCGGCAGGCAGGTAGGCAGCTTTGATGGACAGACAGGACAGCGCTTGGAAGGGGCGGGGCCCGGCCTCCCCAAAGGGCCTTCAGAACTAGCCCAGGTGCAGACCTGGCACCCAGCCACTCTGCCAGTGTTTCCCTGGGCGGAACAGCAACAGGAATTATGTCCTTCCCCACGGAGCTTGGCATTTCCCTGGGGGCGGGCGGGGCAGGGGGCGGGGAGGGTTCTGCCTGAGACCTGCATACAAACCCTCCTAACCTGAGTGGGGAAGGACTAACCCCAGGGCTGCCCGCTGAGTGTCCTGTGCAGCCAGCTGTGTGCCGAGGGCGGCTCCGGGCAGAGGTCATGTGGTTCCTGTTTGAGGATCCTATGGTAGCCTGTGGGGAAGGGTCCTCTTCACCACTCTCCTTCCTCTCATCGGAGATAACTGCTCCCCAACCCTGCTGCTGGTGGGAGGGTCACTACCACTCCCACCAGCGACAGGACATGAATGCAGGGAGTCAGCAAGGGATCTGTGGTGTGGCGTGTCCGTGGGCGCTCAGCCTCGCGGTCCAGGAGGTGTGCATTCCCCTGGCTGCCTGGCATGGCCCCAGAGCCGTGGGGCCTGCTGGCCATTGGCTTCTTCTACTCCCAGCCCAAGTCTCGGAGCAGAGCAAAGACGAGGCAGAGCAAAGACTGGGCCAAACCCTCAGGCTCGGCCAACACTGAGCAGCCTCCCACCTTCCCTCTGCCCCCAACCTTGTCTGTTCTAGACGGGACAGACTGAAGACTGTCCCGCTGCACCCGCTGGGATACCAGACCTCCTTTTCTAAATAAGTCTTGGAATTTCAAAATGTGGGGACCTTTGAGTATGGTTCTTTGGTTTTCCAAAGCAATGGGACCCCCTCCCTTCTTCCTCTCGTACTCACTGAGGCATGTGGACAAAGGCCCGTTTGCTAACAGGCCAATCCATAGTCGAGTTCCTGGCAAGAGACAGAACGTCCAAGTCTGGGAGCAGTGAAGGTGGCATAGTAGGGCAGTTAATCATGGAGGCTCTGAATCAGGAAGACCTGGGTCCAAATCCAGGCTCTGCCACTCTCACACCGGGTAACACTGGGCAAGTTACTTAACTTCCCTGAGCCCGTTCCCTCATCTGTGAAACAGGACGGAGCTGCCGTGAGGCCCGAAGCAGTCATGCACACAGAGGGCCCAACAGCCTCCACCAGTGGGGGCCCTGCTCTTACGGCCCCGGCAGGAGCAGCTCAGCTCACCCTCTGCTTCCTTCCCCGCAGGTTCTCAGATTGATGACCATGTTCCAAAGCGAGCTTCGGCTCGGATCCTCGCTCCCCCCGGAGGCAGGTCAAGCGGCATTTGGTAAAGGCACCAACAAGCCCCCCGCAAGTGAGGATGCACCGCTGCCACCAGCCCGCGCGCCCTCCAGCCGCAGCTGCAGGGGCGGGAGAGGCTGGGCTGGGCAGCTCACCACCTGAGGGGCCACAGGACCCGGGAGCCCTCCCCATGTCTGACACGCGATTCACTGTGCTTCGAGCCGACCCTAACAGGCACTTTGAGATGTGTTCCTCCTGCTGCAGTCCCTTCCTGCCCCGCCTCGTGGGGCCCAGGAAGCCCACACTATGCACAGAGCCCAACGCATAGAGCCCGGCCCAGCCCCTCCTCTCACACCTGCCTCCACGCGCTGGCTTCAGGAAAGCCCAGACTTGAGTGCCCTGCCCCTGGCCGACCGCCAGTTGTCCAGAGCACTTTAGCAGATGTGTTTTAAAAGGACCCCCTTCCCCATCCCCTTAGGCCCCGTGGTCACCTTTCTCAAGTTAGACAGGTGTTAGCTGCCCAGCCATGCCCAGAATGTCCCGTTTTTCCTGACTCAACTCCGGCCCCGTGTGGGTGTGGATGGGACACCCTGGGTGTGGGTGTGGTTGGGACACTCTGCGTCCTTTGCCAGCTCCTTCCTCTTCCCACCCCGCCCTCTGGGAGTCACGCCCAGAAGAGCCAGCTGGGTGGGGCGCAAGGCTGGTGCCAGGCGCGTGTACATGATTTTGTTTTGCACGTTTGGTTTGCGCAGTGGTTTGGTTTGACTTGTTTGTGCATCCTGTGAAAAATAACGGTGCTTTGTGTCACTAGCATAGCATAGAAACAGGAATAGATGTGGACCTTAGGAGATGCTGCACTCGACACCAACCAGACAGCCTGGAGCACGGGCCGGGGCAGGGTGCTAGACTTGCAGGCCCTTCTTCTCCTCACACGGAGTCTTCCAGGCTGCCACAGGCCCTGTCCCATCCCTTCCCTTCCCCTCCTGGTCTAGTTCCCTACATTCTGCCAGGGTGCCCAGGATTCTGGCCCTGAGGACCGTCTCTGGCCCTGATCACTCACTCCCGCAGTTAACACCTCCAATCACCCAGCTTCCTGTAAACTCCCCCTACTGGACGGAGGCCTGGCTGCTCCTTCTGTGTGATTGGCAAGCCGCCTGATGCCTGCTAAGAGAGGGGGAGTGGGACTAGGGGAGGGGGCTAGCTAGGTGCCCAGGAAGGAGACCAGGCCAGTGGGACCCAACTGTAAAACCCACACTGCCGCGCAGGGGCTCCTGTCTCCTGTGCTCAGCGCCGTGCCCTCACCTGCTGTGGCCTCCATCACCTCCATCCAGCGGGGCCCTCCGTGCCTCCAACACTCCAGGGGGTTTCCATGGAAACACTAGAGGCTGGGTGAACTCCATCCACCCTGAGTGAACTGGGAAGTGACCCAGCTGCCTACCCTTGTTAAGCCTTGTCCTCCCCTCGGGGAAGCCATTTCATGTTGCACATTCCATTTGAGCACCCCAGGCTGCACGTGGCTCCTGGACTCTTGGGCTAGTGGTCATACCCTATACATTTCTACTGTGCTTTTCATATTTGCAAAGCACTTCCACATAGGAGCTCTCAATTGCATCTCACAGCAGAGCATGTATTATTCTCCCCCGTTTCAAAGATGAGGCCCGAATAGTTTAGGCCTTCTGACTCTAGAAGTGTCCGTGACTACCCTTAGGAGCTTGGCTGTCAGCTGTGGAAAGGAAGAGTGGATTTGTTGTCCCTTGTAGATCCTACCTAGAGTTTAACCAGTTAGAAGACTGACTGCCCTGGTAGGCATTTTGCTTTGTTTTGCACAGATAGGTAGACTTTTGTTATAAACACACTAATGCATATTCACTGTTTGAGCCAGAACTAGTTCCACGTTGGGGGTTTGCCATGTGGTTTGAGCTGCCTCCACACCCTCACTTGTCGCTTCACACTCATCTTCCTCACTTAGGGGCTCAGATGACAGAGGCCATAACCCAGGGAGCAGAGGCAGCAAAGGTACTCACAGAGCGTGGCAGCCGTGGGGACAGGAGTAGGGGTCTGGGCCTGGGAAACCGTGACGCTGGCCCCTTGGTACAGTGCACATCATCTTTCTCTCTTTCAGCCCTTGCTGGGTCATGGGCCTTGGGCAGATGCCAAAGAGCCAAGCAGTGGCGGTGGCCCACGGGCAGAGCATCCCTGCTTGGGCTAGGAAAGCTTTACCTCCTCCGAGTGCCTCCGCCTGAGAGATGCATGGCCTGGGCTCAGGGAGGCCACGTGCTGGAGTGGTCCTCCGTAGCCATCCACTTCATCCACCCTGATCCTTACATAGACCCCACCCTTGCCCAGGAGCTTCTAGAAGAAAACCAGAAGGAGGTTCGAGGAACCAAATACACGGTCAGCCCCCACCACCCGCTCCTTGCCCCCGTGCAGGGCTCCAGCCAGCTCCGTCACCAGCCCGCTGGCCCCTTCCTGGTCGGAATGAAAAGGGTCCCTGGTTGCACTGAATGCAGCTCTCAAACTGGTCTTGTACTTGCCGAATAAATACTGTTGTTCTTGCCTTAGCTGCTCTCTAGGTTCGTGGGGTTAAGTTACAGAAAGTTGTGCTACTGTGTGTGCGTGTGTGTGTAGTGCTAGGAGTCCGCAGTAGACCTCTGTCAAGCCAATGCCGTGATGAGAGCTTTCCCGGCACTGACCTAGAAACCACAGAACCATGCGGAAGCCCAGAGCCCCTCCAGCTGCCCAGGCGCGGCAGGCACAGCCTGGGGTCGGGATGGAGCCTCCAGCACCCCAGCACTCAAGTGACTTCCTCACTCCTCTGTAAAAGTCATGGTGCTACAATTGTGTCAACCCCAAGACAACACATGGTCCTGTGCTTTGGCCACCCATTTGAGGCAAAAACAAAACAGCCCGACACCTTGTGTTCTGGTGCAGGTTTGTATTAAACTGTAGCTACTTCTCACTTGGTCTCAGTTGTGTTTCTTCAAAGAAGAGGGGGTTTGGCGGAGGACGTCTTCCACAGGAGCTGGGGTGAGGCTAAAGCTGCTAAGAAGACTCAGCTTCAGTTTTTCATGCTCATGTTGGCAGGTGACAGCTTCCCGGGAGGCCTTGGTAGGGTCTGCTGATTTAAAAAAAAAAAAAAAAGTTGAGATAGGGGAGCCTCAGTGGCCTAGCAGTTAGCAGGCAGTCTGTCACCTGGTTGGAACAATACCAAGGTTTGTGGTACCTCATTTCCCAGGATGAGGTCGCTGAGTTACCTGAATAGGGAACAGTTAGAAGCATTAGATACAAAAGGCGGGAAAGCAGGCTTTCCCTAACTCCCCTTTGTCACCTGCTCTCTTAGCTACCATTTTGGAAACCCTCTTGCCACAGTGGGATCTTTAGGTAATGGGACTACGGCCTTGTAAAAATCACAGGACAACAGCCGGTCCCAAGGCCATCGGAGAAGATCAGGCTGTTCTCCGACTCCCCCGGGACCTCGCCTCTGGTTTGGCCCGCCTTGTCCGCAAACCCCACCCACCTGCAACGAGGCTCCGCCTTCTCTCCAGATCTCAGCCCGAAGTTCAGAAGAATCATGTGCTCAATTTCACACTAAAGAGTGAGTGAGATTGTTTCCAGTACTGTACAGTCACTTGTACTTATTTCTTAACCACAAAAGATAAAGCCCTAGCGAAGAGGTTTCAGGTAGTACAGGGAACTAGCTGGGGCGGGGGAACTTTCGCAGCTCTCACCAAAGCAGCAAGCCTCCCGCAAGAAGGCAGGCTGTGACCACCACAAAGTCCCGGAGCGGTGCAGCTGGGGCGAAGCACTTGGCTCTGATGAAGTGCGCTGTGTGCACAAGCTCTGGTGGGGTTCCTGAGCCAGATGGAAACACCATTACCTGGTCTGCAGGATGCCGAGTCCCTGGGCTGGTACTGAGCCAAAGCATCTGTGTTACTCTGTTTTCCCATAACATGCAAGCGCACTAGATTTTGATTAACTGCCAAAGTCCATTGTGTTTGGATGAAAAATGACATGACTGCACATTTGGCAGGCCATGTTGCATGGTCTCAGGCAGTTCATAGAAAAAACAGAAAAGGCACCCAGGATCACACTCCATGCCTTTGTATGCATGTAGTAGTAGAGAAAGAAAAGGTCACAGGCAGTAAAATAAGGCTTGATCAAGTCTACAAATCTGCATTTGGGGAAACCTAAACCAGCCATCACCCTTAATTTCTTCACTCAGAATTACAAGTTGACTTTTATATACAGGTCCAACCTAATGCTAAGAGGTGCCTCGTAGTTGATAAAGGAGGAAAAGTCACGTGACACGCCAGGTAGGAAGAAGAAACATCGTGCTACAAGGGGAGGGTAGACCTTAGAGTCCTATGTTAATAATAGGCTATTTGACAATGTTGCTAATAACACATTTGCCATGTGACATTTGTTGCTAATAACAAATTTTAAGTACGTAAAATACCAAATATGTGCATATTCTCGCTCTTTTTTAAAAAGTTGATTTTAGAGAGAGAAGAAAGGAGGGAGAGAGAGAGAGAGAAACATTGATTTGTTGTTCCACTTACTGATGCATTCATTGGTTGAGTCTTGTATGTGCCCTGACCAGGGATTAAACCCACAACATTTTGGTGTACGGGACAACACCCCAGTCAATGAGCCACCCAGCCAGGGCCAGATTCTCTCTTATTACAAACATGTTAACACTATGGTTTTGGTGCTTTAAAATCTTTCTTTTCTTGATTCTGCACTTTCTGCCAGGTCCTAGTTCTCATGGGCTGAGTCTTGTCCTGGCGGCGAGTCCGCTCCTTGAGGGTGCAGGGAAGGGCTGCTGACTAGCTCCACTCACGTGGCTCAGCCCTCCAAAGACGGGTGCCAGGGGCTCCCTGTGCCATTATGTGGCCCATTCACAATAACTGCATGGTTATCAGTGCAACATTTATATATAAGTTCTAGCCAAGTGGATTCTGCCTTCTTTAAAATTTTTGAATAAATTAAATCCTTTGTATTTCAGGGTTTCTTAAACCCTGTGCTTGTATAGGTTTCTTTTTTAAAAATCCTTTTTTTAGAACCAATTTTGACTTTACAGAAAAATTTAAAAGCTAACACTGAGAGTTCCCACACACTGTCTACAG